ATATTGGTTCCAGGTTAGTTCAATTTTTATAATTTAATTTTATGGTGAAGATATTTCAATTTGATTATTATATAATATTTTAATAACGATATTAATATTGTTTTTACATTTCTATTATAGGCCCTAACTTATTTGCTTCTACGACCCGACGAAACTGGCCAAATTCCTGGACGACCTGGAAAAATCGCGTCAGATCCCTGGGAAAATCAAAATATTCGTGACTTGCACAATACATCACCAAATGGTTCATTAAGAGGAAATAATCTCCGAGAAATTAAGAAAAAATCAAGTTTTAGCAAGCTTCAATCAATGTTTCGACGTCAGGATACTTTGTCACCTCCTTCACCTCTTTCATCCGAATTTACTGATGGGCAACCTGCGGTACCGGGACATTCACACAATGATTTGGATCATAATGAATTTGATAATGTGCGGCAATGTTGTGACGGCCAACATGATATTAGCAGACTTGAACGTGCCCATAATCACAGAGGGCATCATTACAATAATGCACATTTTTGATATCATTGAAACAACATAAGTGCATTAATTTGTTTTTTTATTTTCTTTTTACATTATATACTATTTTTTTTTTATACATTACAGAGAATTGTGAATTTTTTTATAAACAGGTTTTCTTTTTAGAGGCAATTAGTTCTATATATTATTATTGTTACCATTAGTTTGTATACTGTACTGTATTATAAGACTGTTACAAAAAAATAGATAATCTTTTCATTTACTATTATATATACACAATAGCAAATATAGTTCTTAATCGGAATAATAGCGGTAAAAAAAAAAAAAAAAAATCAAAAAAATCAAACAATTGTGTAATATATAATTGGTAATACATTACGTGAACATTGAATATATATTTATTTTTTTGTATTTTTTTTTTTTTTAAATAATTCAGTAGTGTATTTGTAAACATTATAATAAGCATTTAACTGGAAAGCTGTGTAAATTTGTCGTTTTATATAATTATCTATTACGGAACTGTCATCTCATGTTTAATAATAGGCATAGAGCACGCAAAATTGGAGATTGGAATCGACAAATAAATTACCAAGCATTGAATAATTATATCAAACAAATTAGATACGTACTGTATATAATATTATTGATTTTACATGCGATACTGTTTAATTGCATGCCATCCGTCAGAGACTTTTTTATGCATATAGACGGTATATGCATTTAAGTTATAAGAACCATTTTCGTGTTAATAATTAACCAAATTTTTTTTATGCATTTAGAGTATATACAATCAAACAGTATGTAATTAGACAGTATTGACTTTTAAAACATATGGGGTCTTTGCTAGGAAAATGACCCTCTGAGGCTTATGTCGATTTTGTTTTTATTTTGTGGAGCTAAATAAGCTCTACAAAACAAAAAAAGATCATTCAAATTGGATGACTAGACGGCCGGCAAATTAAATTTCTATTCACAAAATCAACATAGTCTCGGAGGACGGTTTGTTAGTTTTTTGTCATTGTTTTGTTAGCGAAGATCTTCATTATTTTATTTGTTCTGTTCTATATGAAAAGGTTCGCATTTGCAGAACATAAAGTGTAAACTCATACAGGGAGGTTTATATAGACTGACTTTCTCATGATTGGTCAATTTTATACAATTGAATTTATACAGTTTAGAGTATTTTTATTTCCTAAGACAGTGCAGGAATCCTTAAACCAACAACTTTTTTTAAAGCTGGCCAAATTTGAGAACAAATACTAAATTTTGATTGGCTAATATCTTAAAATTTTGTTATGTTTTTTTTAAATTTTA